TATTAATATTATATTAAGATATTAAGATTGTCAAAGCTTTCAAGATGTGATAAATAATGTGAGATAATACAAATCCTAACCTAGAAGGCAAAAAAATACACCCCCAGTACTGTTTTTCTCTTATAATTATTGGTAAAAGAGGATCTAAGTGGGATTTTCAGAACTCTTAGTACTGAGTCGTATCATTACAGAGATGATGATATCCTTGTTAAAGGAAAGCAAACAATTTGAATTTCATAAGCATTATTTTTATATATAATAAAATAATTCCTTCTGTCTTCAACACTTGAACTACTTCAGATAAATTGCTGCTGGCAGGTTTAATTGGTGTTTTTGCATTTCCATGTTCCTTTTCAGTTTCTAATTTTGAATAATCCATTGAGCAGTAATTTTAATTGGCTTCTGCCAAAAGTTTATCAATCAGTTAGGATAGTCTCCTTGACAACAAGAGATCCGGATCTTAAAAACCAAGTGAATTCACCTTACCTCTTTTTTTTTTGTGATTAAATTTATAGAGCAAACTACTCTGCTGTTTCTCTTTTTTTTTCTGTAATTTATTCAGCTGAGGATTTTTTCCAGTTATTGCTTGAGAACCTGAGCCTGTAGCTATTGACTTAGTTAGTTTTCTCTTTTTTTTTTTTTCCCACTTGTCTTTCTTCTCTTGGCAATGTACCTTGTTTTTTTTAAGCACAGAGGCTGACATCCAGTGAAACAGTCAAGTGGTGTCTGTTTTTTCCAGATTTTCTTCTATAGTTTCTTCCTAGCATGAAAGCAGGAGACCGCCTCACATTCATTGTTTTACTTGGAAAATCCTCAGCTTTTCTGGTTTTGAGGTTGGTTCTCTTCCTGTTTAGAGCATGTCATAAATAGAAATAAACTTCTAAAAAGCAAAGCTTTTATACATGAGCCTCTAAAATCAGCTGAGTATTTCTAGTTTACAAAGTGTGTTCTGTTGGATGTGATACACTGTTTGAATGAATTTCTCAAGGGAAGATGAATAGGGGTTCTGAACCTTCAGTGGGTTTGAGATTTGGATGAGTATTGCTTCCTCTTCCTGCTTGCTTCCTAACTCAGCTTCTGAGTAGAGTCAAGATGTAAATATTTCTACGGAGTGGAAAACTGATGGTGGTGTTCATAAAAATCAGTAGCATTTCTCCTCGTCCTTTCTCTCCCGTTACCTGAAATGTAGCAGAAAATACTGTGTATCCACCAGAAGAGAATGCTGTGGAATTGGAGGGACTTGCAGGATGATGATTGCATGAATCACTACTGGAGTGATAGAAAAGGCTTTAAAAAGTTCTTTAGTTTGAGTATGCTTGATCACCTTTTTTACTTATCCTGATTTTGAGTGAATTCTTAAATTTCCAGTAACAGCTGTCCCTTCTAACTTCTGTTAGGAATAGCAGAAGAGGGGAAAAATGACAGTTAACTTAATGGAGCTACTTTTCAAACAGTTGAATGGCTTAAAAAGTAATTTTAAGGACAGGAGAGGACAACTGAATAACTGCATAACTTGATAAGGATACATGCTGTACGTTAAAAGAAAACGTCTGGTTCTGAAACCAAAACACTGAACTTTTGTCAGCTTTTTTTACTTTAAGATGAGGCATTAAAAAACTGAGGAAAAATACACATCTACACATCATAAAGACTGCGATATGTCATGTTTTTTGACCTTGGAGAAGCTCTGAGAGATGCAACAGGATATGAACTTGTTTGGTTTGACCTACATTAGTCTGCAAAACTGCTGGTTAGTTCTAATGAATCGGCCATTGTTCATGTTAAACTGCAGGTTTAAAACACGTTTGTCAGCATTTGTGTGAATGAAGTTAGCAAAATGAGATTTAACTAACTGTCAAGGACAAGTCCTGAGATGAAGCAATGCTGCAAATGTTAAACTGCTATGATTGCTAATTTTAATACAATGAGGTTTAATATTTCAATTATTTTTAGGAATCTGTAAATATAAAAACTGTTTGTGAGACCAAGCTTTAAGCTACATAAAATGTTTTAAGGTACTGCTTCTAGATATGACAAAACAGCATACATATTGACTTAGCACTATATGTCAGAATCCTACTTTTCCTCCAAACAGAACAGCACTTTTCTGATGTTGTACTTAGTGAAGAATACCTCAATCTTGGTGTAGAGCAGGTGTGCAGTCTTATATCCAGTGACAAACTCACAATTGCCTCCGAAGAGAAGGTAAGAGCATCTGTATCCCAGTATTCCTTTTATCCTTTTGGGTGAGAGAGTGAGCTTGCTTTCACTGCTCTGGTGTACGTGTTTGGATGTGTTCTTTGTTTCCTCAGTGAAATAAGGCATGCATTGTGCTCATGTTTAAAGGATTTTTCCCCAAAGCGTTGTTAGTCCGATGCTGAAAATTAACCTCAACTCCTAAAATCGTGTAACCCTTTGATCTTTGAAAAAAAACCTGGAAACTAAATTAAATGGATTCTTTGTCATCTTCAAACAGAACACATTCTGTGAGTCACATACACAGGAGTTTGTTTTACCAAAGTATAACTCACTAAAAAACAGTAGTTTGAGGAGTAAGTATATGCCATCTACCAACTTTAACATCAGCAGTCCCACAAATGTATTAAATCTCTATATGTATATGTGGGCTGTTCAGCCTAACTAAACAAATGCGGGTTGCAAAGGGGATGACGAGGTAGCTTGGTATAACCAAACGAGTTTAAATGTGTGTTGGCTCACTTTTAGCAAGATCTCTTTCCTTTAAAGCCATTTTTGAAACTTTGTGATCTTCAGTGAGCCCAGTGCATCTCTTTTCAGGTTGTAGATGTATTCATTTTTTTAATCCATCAATTCAGACTGTGTTGGTTTTCTTCTTTGCAAGGAGTGTATAGTGTGTAACACCTCTGTTCAAACTGGGCTAAACTGTATTCAAAGGCAGGTTCGAATGCTTACTGGTATGGCTAGGTAGTGTCATGTTAAAACCTTTTTTTAACTTTGAATCTGAGAATTGTCTGCTTAAACTGCAACTCGCAAAGTCATGTTGGTGTTCACATAATACCCTGAAGGTCCAGTTTAATCACTTTGATTTTGATACATGTGATGCTGCTTTTGTGGGGTATAATTACGGTTTTAATGCTCTAGTGTATGATGAGCTGCTGTGCAAGAGAGGAGAAACTAGGCTTGGGATCACTTCTCCTAGTAAGACTCAGTGCTGATAAGTCTTTTGAATGATGCCATGGTAGGTTGATTTTCCAAGAAAGGAAGACCATTATGAGGATTGTAATATCCCTGCTGCTGTCTTGTTTGTTTGCCTCATTTTACTGGATTTTCATCATCAATAAAATTATTGTGTACAATTTGTCTATGTAGCACATCTCTCCTTGAAACACCTCTAGAAGAGTGACATTAAAAAAGACTGGCTACCACATCTTCAGAATTTTGTAGTGGGTAAATAAGGAAATAATGGAAGCTGTATCTGCTGTCATCTTTACTTGTGTTAGGAATTTTAGTATAAGCCAAAACTGGCTTTGGGAGCATACTGATATTTTCATACTACTGAATTTGTAAGTCAAGGGACTTGCATTTGTTTGTTTCCTGGAAGGTATTTGAAGCAGTGATAGCGTGGGTAAACCATGACAAAGATGTAAGGCAGGAGCTAATGGCACGCCTGATGGAGCATGTTCGGCTGCCTTTGCTTTCCCGTGAATATTTAGTTCAGGTAAGCAAAAAGGAATACTGATTCTTTTGCATGTGAACATTACAGTTTATTTTTTTAAAGGCAGATGGATAATTGCAGTATGTTACTGACAGTAAAAATAAACGGACAGCCACCATTATATATGCATGTGCACACACACGGTGTCAAATAAGGGGTCGTCATAGAGAGGATATAACATATAAATAATTTATCTGTTTGTCTGACTTCATGTCATGCTACACTAGTAATATGAATTATTTTATTAGGCTAGCTTTCATTTTTAATACGATATTTGATACAATACTTCATAAGGGGATTTTAAATTTCAGAATTGAATATAAGTTGATTCAGACTTGCTGATAAAGGAAATACTTCTTCACCTGGTTCAGATATATTGTATTTTTTCAAATCTTATAAGACTTTCAATATTCAGATGTCAGGACAAATATCTAAGATTAAAAATATCAGTTCGCTCTTAACCGTGATTAGTAGGTGTAGTAGCAGGTTGGTAGGTGTTTATTTTAGAAATTCTGGTTTTGTGAAATGAATTTCCTCCAATTCATGTGGGTTGTTTTGGGGGTTTTTGCTATGCATTTGTGGGTGTTTATGCTTTGTTTGCTGCTGTAGTTTCTTACTGTTGTGGGATGGTTTTCTAGTTTATTAAATTCTCCCCACTCCTGCCTTAAAGTGTTCTCTACTCTCTGTATTTGAAGAGTCAAGAAAAGTGCTTAATTGTGAGGAATTGATTTACTTTGCCTAACACGGTTTCTTCTACTTACTAATTGAGAGAATTGACATTTTTTTTTCAGTGACTGCATATTGCCATCACACAAATTCATGTCTAAGTTAAATTACAGTGTGAAAAATTGGAGTAATCTGCATTTGTGTCATGTAACACAGGCGTTATTACATTTCAGACTGTCACTTGTGTTTGACTTGCTTGACATGCTCAGACCTTGTTACACTTCTATTAATAAACAGAGAGTTGAAGAAGAAATATTGGTTAAGAACAGCAGTGCTTGTAAGGATTACCTCATTGAAGCTATGAAGTATCACTTGCTGCCAACTGAGCAACGAGCATTGATGAAAAGCACTCGAACAAAACTGAGAACACCTGCTAGCCTTCCAAAAGTAAGACCCTTATTTTTTCCAATGTACTTATTTCTTCAGAGTCCATTTTAGCAGATTCCATGAGAATTTGACTGTAACTTGGAATATTCCAGGAAAAATTTTCATACCAGAATTATTTATCACAGAAGTGTAACAAGTGATTAGTGTTATAGTCCATACTACTTGGGATAGAGATGTTTTAGTCTTCCACCTACCCCCACCACGCACACCCCTCAAAAAAAAAAAAAGTTTTTTATAGTAAGCTCGTTAGCATTTGAGAAATACACAATTATACATCTGGTTTTAGGAAATAAGCTTGTTTCTTAAAAAAAGAAAAAAGACCCTGAAAAAAGACTGGTGCTTCTGAATTGTGGCATTTATTCAGTCATTAGCTAAATGCAATCTTTTGTTAACTTTAGAAGAAAACAGAACGAACATCAGATATATTCTGTTCTTTCCAGTGAAGTAAAAAAGTTTTCTCATACTACTGTTATGTCAACTGCAATAATAGAATAGGAGATTCCATTCAGCAGAGATTTAGCACATTTCTCTCAAAGGAACCAGATAAGACTGTTCTGTGATGGGTGGTCACAGTTCATTGAACATCACAGATGTTGATTTCTCATACCTGAGGTCAGTGTAGGATGTGGAGATACAGCATCACCTGCCTCTTTCATGGGAACTCTACCTAGACTCTAATCGCTTCCTGCTTTTCTATCTTGGATGCTTCCTCTGGACACAATGATTACAAATTGTATGCGTTTTTTCAAAAATGAATTTTACCTAGTTCGCAAGAATCAAATTTCTTATTTAGGAGAACCATTGTTTAATGATTTCTGTTACAGAAGCTTGTATTTATTTTTTTAACACTTCTTTGATCTTTCACATACTTTTGTATATGCAAACAATTAATAAATACTGTTTACCTCCCTTTTAGTTGATGATGGTAGTTGGAGGACAGGCACCAAAGGCAATCCGCAGTGTTGAATGCTATGATTTTAAAGAAGAACGCTGGCATCAGGTGGCTGAATTGCCTTCCAGAAGATGTAGAGCAGGTAAATGATGCTGCATTTTTTTGTCACAGTTGGTAATGCTTCAGAATTTAGGCATCTGTATAAAGCATCATATGTTCTTTGGAATAGTACTTAAGATATTTATCTGATAAGGGCTAAGCCTTGAATTCAGTGATCATCCTTAAAATTCAAATTGCTTGCTAATCTGGAACAATACAAATTTGATAACTTTGATCTTAATCTGCACTGTCTAGAATAAACTGCTTTACCACCTCCCATAGATACAGAGGATAAATAAATTTAAATATTACAGCATCATAATAATGAGTAATTTTATTATTAAAATACCCTATTAATACTAAATGAAATAAAGAATGTGAAGAATTGACCAACCAGTACTGAAAATGTGACCTTAAAGCTGCTGAGATATCTAAGCAAGAAGAAAAGAAATTCAGCAAACATGATATGCAGAAGCACTGAGCTATTAGTAACAAAAAGTGACAGAACTTCTCGTGCATAATCTGAATGAAGTGTGGCACTGGGACACTATCAAAAGCCTTATAGTGGAGTCAGTACTATAAATTGTGTCAAGTATCTGCATACTTGGGATAGCACAGAATGCAATTAATTGGCAAAGACTAAAATGCTCATCTTTCCTCCCTGTTGCCCTGCTCTAGGAATGGTGTACATGGGAGGCATGGTTTATGCTGTTGGTGGTTTCAATGGGTCTTTGAGAGTTCGCACGGTAGATTCCTATGATCCAGTGAAGGACCAGTGGACAAGTGTTGCCAATATGCAAGACAGGAGAAGCACACTGGGAGCAGCTGTATTAAATGGCCTTCTTTATGCTGTGGGAGGATTTGATGGGAGTACAGGTATTTTTACCTTTATACACTGATAATTAGCTTTGACTACTTCTGACATAATTGTATCAAAATTGAATGTCTCTTTCCTGGAAGCTGTGATGAAACCAAGCATGAGGGTAGCCTGGCATCTTGTGGTGTGGAATGTACTTCAGTGGTGTCACACTTTCTTCCTCAACAGTGGACTGTTTGCTGCCATCTAAGGTTTTAGGTTTAATGACTAGTAAATCTCTGACAAGTTCATTTTCAGTATTTTGTTTGTAGTCAGAGTCCTTAACTGACAGAAGATGTGAGCAGAAAAATTACCTGGTCCTTTTTGTCCTGTTTGCATATTAAATATATGTCTGCCCTTCCGTGTACTGCAAACAGAAATAAGAAAACTCTGACCTTTGAGAAGGCTCTGGACATACTCTTCATTTTCTTCGCAGATGTGTTAAACTTCTTGTGCAGATATGAGCTTAATTACTATGACTGAAGCATATGTAGGAGAGAGCACTGTGACTTAATTAAACAGAGAGAAAAAACATCTGGGGAAGAATTTTTCAGAGTTCCACAAAAGCTTTTAAGCTTTTATTAATTTGCCTAGTTTCAGACACCGAGAGTGGGTTGACTGTAATTGGCTAACTAAAGGATATCAGTTGTGCATTGTGCACAGTAATTAACAGTCCTTAAAATGCAATAATTTGAACTTTCAGATATGAAGAATTTTCTGAAGGTACACAATATATTGCACCTAGATGTATAAATTAATGTTATATTGTCTTTATAGGTTTATCATCAGTTGAAGTTTACAACTTGAAGACTAATGAGTGGTTTCATGTAGCTCCAATGAACACAAGAAGAAGTAGCGTTGGTGTAGGTGTTGTTGGAGGTGAGCTGACAAATTGTATTAAAAAGAGGGTGGGAATGCAATCATTTACCCTACTATCTTTTCTCACTTTTGAAAACATATTTCGGGTTTTTATTTTTGCCCAGCCTTGTAACTCAAATGGTGTGAACAATGCATGATTGTTCTACTTGGGTTTGACCACCTTTTATCGTAGTTGTTTTACATATTTTTTTCTTGGAGCTTCAGTTGTGCCTGAGGCCAGCTGAGGAAAAGCTCACTAAGCGTGTGTGCTCTAGGTTACGTGTGTCAGCAAGGCCAGCGAGCCTGAGTACTGAAGTGTTGACCTTATAAATTGGTCTTTAGTGATGCAGTACTGTCGACTCTGTTATCTGTGGCTGGCTTTGCTGGTTGCATGCTGGGGATAACCTCAAGGACAGCGCAGGAAAACTGCTGACTTTGGATCAGTTTAGCGGTGAATAGCCTGGATGTCACTTGCACAATGCAGATCTGGGCTGGCTCTTGGGTCTTAAAACAGTTTTAGGTGTGTGTTTTCACTGCATAGGCACCACTGTTGTTTCTGACCTGAAAACACCATCTGTACAAGTAACTTTCAGGTATTTTTTTTATATTTCTAGGAAGCTTATTTGCAAGCTTCCAATGTTGAACATACTTGCTTGTGAACAATTCATAATTTAAAACAGAGAAAAGCACCTCTGTATTTCAGCCGGGCAGTTCAAAATCTTTTGACTCATGTTGTTCTTGTTAGATCCTGGCTGCCTTCTATGTCCTAAAAATGACAAGAATTATAGTGTACTATCTCAAACTATTTACCAAACAGAAAACAGCTGATGATGACAGGTACTGATCAGTAGTTAATTCGGAGAATGCTGATCTCCCCTCAGCTTGTGTACCAGAATGGGCTGTGTGCTTTAGAAATTTGTAGGTTTCTGTTGGTTCCCCTTCTAGGTAAGCTGTATGCTGTCGGTGGCTACGACGGGGCGTCGCGTCAGTGCCTTAGTTCAGTAGAATGCTATGATGCCAATACAAATGAGTGGACCTATGTTGCCGAAATGAGCACTAGACGGAGTGGAGCAGGTGAGTGGACAAGGCTCAACTATCCCTGTAAAACTGAAACAAATCTGTGGTTTTAAAATGTATCTAAAAATACAAAAGGTAAGCTAAAGTCCAAGTCTAAAGGAAGGTGTTAGTCTTAGATGGCTGATATATTGCAGGTAATAAACAAAAGACTGTCCTACAGTAAGATTCCATCTGTTAATAGTAAATTCCTTTCTTTTTCTTACTTTTCATATTCCTCTTCTTCCCATAACTCCTGATGTTTTTAACATGAAGACTACTGTGCATTGATTTTGACAGTCAATTTAATATTACCTAAATACTGAAGTACCAAAATCTACATGGCCAGGATGAAAAATGTCATTTCCTCAGAGATGTCTCTGCCAGTGTAGGGCTGATTTTTCTAATAGCGTTTTTCAAGTTGACTTTGTGTGTGAACTGTGACTATATTTCCACCTCTTTTGGAGGACTTGTTCTCCATTCTGATTCACTGGCAGGAAATTTTGTCTTTGTTCATTCTTAAGTTTGTACTACTGGTTTCATCCTATTACTTCCACTTACGTACCCTTTGTTTCATCTTCAGTAATTCTTTTCATCACCTGGTGTTTACATCCTTTGGATACGTATAGGCTACTACATGTTATCCTTCCTTACCGTTTAGCCAAGGTATATCCATTTATTTCTTTATAATCTTAGAAAATGCCCTTTTTTTTTTTTGTGGATTTTTTTTTCCTGCTTACAATTCTGAGTATGTGTATTTCTCTTTAAAGACATCAGAAGTGCCTGTGGTATTCCACTTTTGTTTAATGAAATGATGCCTCCACAGCTCCAAACTGACTTTAGCAATTTCATAAACTATTTATATTATGGACTCAAATCTCATTTACTGTTCACTGTCCTCTATTTGTCTTTTGGTATTTCAGGTTTTTTCAACTGGCAGAAGTTGTTTTATTTCTCTAGATGTGTTCCCATGGACTTTTTCAAGTCAAATTGCATGATATTATTTTTCTACGGTTATTTTTGCAGTTGTTTAAGTCAGTTTTTTGCAAAGTACTTCATGTTTTTTAGCAACACCCTTCAAATATCTACCGATGATTGCATTAATGTGCTTCATAAGTGGAAGAGATGTTCCTACAAATAAAACTGGATGGACTTGTAGTATGCTCAGTAGATGATTAAGAGTTATCCCAACTTTTCATGTTGCCTTCCATTATTCTTTATTGACTCTGAAGAGTTTTTAATCTGTATAGTGATGTTTAAATTAAGTCCAAATTATTTAAAAAAAAATATATAAAGTACTTGTAAAATGCTTAAGAGATTTAGTTTGTGATACTTGCATTATACCCTTACAAAATCAACAAGCTGATATGTCTATTATTTGCTAAACGCTAAAAGTAATGTTTTGATTGTGTTTTTAAGCTAAAACAATGATGTTAATGAAGTCAGCTTGATACAGTGTAGTTCAAGAAAGTATAGTTCTCATGTGAAAATTCTAGTTCCTCAACCTGTGTGTGTTGGAAGTAAATTCCAGATTAAAAACTGGCCAGAGTTGCAGTCAGAGTACTGTGAAATACTCCTTTCTAATATTGACAAGTTTTGAGGAAAATACATGGGCAAATTACAAGTTTCATTGTAAAGTCAAATAGTGTTGGTGGGTTGTGACAAAGCTTCATTTTGCAATCTGCTTGCACACCCATTTTTTTCTCAGCTTTTTTTTTTTTAATACTCTGGTTTTGCAAATTATTGTTGTGCTTGTGGCCTATTTATACTCTAGATATTTTCAGATTTTTTTTTTTTACATGTTGAATTACATCTACAACTCTGAAATGTAGTGCCTTAGGTACACTAACTACTGGGATCTTTCTTCTCCTCTCTTCCCTTCCCTCTGTCTCAGAGTTCAGGACTGTTTGCTTACTCAACTCTCCTGCCTTTTAGCTTGTCCTCTGGTTAAAAAGAAAAAAATTAAGAGGAAAAGTAAATGCAGTCTGTTGTTTCAGATTCATATAACTGAGTAAAATAATCAACATTCTTCTGTGCCACTCTGTTAAATACATGGAAAATTATTCTTGTGCATGGAGGAGGAGTGGGTGGCAATGTGAAAATCACAGCTATTGATCAAACTTGCCTCTAGTGGCCAAATATCCGAAACCACCAGAACTGTTTCAGCCGGCAGCCAGTCCTGGTGGTCTTATGGGTGCTAACTAAAGAGAATTTTGTTCCTGTGTTAACCCTTTGGACCTCTGGTCACCTCAAGGAAATTAAGTCCGTCCCTTCTGTTCCTATTGCTTCAGCTTCATTCAAAAGCAACTTCAGAGGTTAACCCTCAGTTACTCTTCTTTAGTACCAACTGCTTCTCAGTTGATCAATACGGGGACAGATCTGTTTCCAGCAACTTATTGGGATGAGGAACTTCAGATCCAGATATAGGCCATTTGGGAGGGATGAGAGATATAAGACAGGGTCCCGAAAAATGGGCAGGAAAGAAAAATAACAAAGAAAGGAGAACTCAGAAGACGACAACGAGAGGATACAGACGGAAGGAGCAAGAAATTAAGGTAGGACTTGGAAACCGGGTGTGGGATTAAGGGAATATGAAGCACCAAAGAGGAATGGAGGACATTTTTAAAAATAAGGAGCTACCAAAGAAAACATGGCAATGTGGCAGAGGGAAGACTACACGCTGAATAGGAAGGTTGGTAACTATACAGAAAGCCTGGGTGGGGGGATTTATATCACATCACATTTAAACTAAAAATCTTAGCCTTCATAGCTGTGTAATGTTTCATCCTACAAAAGATGAATGTTGTATTATCCTGTCTAATGAAGTGTGATCAGAGTGGGAGAAAGAAAAGCTGTCACACTATCCTGTGACATGATATATAGAAATAATAGCAATAAAAGAGGAATTAAATTAACTTGGAAGGATATGAGGAAATGTTAGTAGTGAGTATCATTGTTAAAGCATTAGATAGGACGATTTATAAAGCAGTGTCCTATTAAGAAGCTATTTTTCAGGTTTGCTGTACCAATTAACTCTTCCATGTTTCCTTCCCCTCTTCCTTTAACTATTACAATCTGCCTTTTTAATAAGAAAATATAGCTAGTTCAG